CCCGAGCCGTCCACGAGGGTGGAGGGCGCGCCCTACCCCCCTGGGCGCACCCCCTGCCTCGTGGACGACTCGGAGACCCCCCCTGACGTGAGACCGACACCAAAAATTCCTATAAATACACAAACCCCCAGAAAGAAATCTAGATCAGGAGTTCGCCACCAAAAACCAATCGGGACCCTGTTTCCGGCACCCTGCCGGAGGGGGGATCCATCACCGGTGGCCATCTTCATCATCCCGATGCTCTCCATGACAACGAGGGAGTAGTTCACCCTCGGGGATGAGGGTATGTACCAGTAGCTATGTGTTTGATCTCTCTCTCGTGTTCTTGATGCGGCACGATCTTGATGTATCGCGAGCTTTGCTATTATAGTTGGATCTTATGATGTTTCTTCCCCTCTACTCTCTTGTAACAGATTGAGTTTTCCCTTTGAAGTTATCTTATCGGATTGAGTCTTTAAGTATTTGAGAACACTTGATGTATCATGTATGTCTTGCATGTGCTTATCTGTGGTGACAATGGGATATTCACGTGATCTACTTGATGTATGTTTTGGTGATCAACTTGCGGGTTCAGTGACCTTGTGAACTTATGCATAGGGGTTGGCACATGTTTTCGTCTTGACTCTCCGGTGGAAACTTTGGGGCACTTTTTGAAGTTCTCTGTGTTGGTTGAATAGATGAATTTGAGATTGTGTGATGCATATCGTATAATCATACCCACAGATACTTGAGGTGACATTGGAGTATCTAGTTGACATTAGGGTTTTGGTTGATTTGTGTCTTAAGGTGTTATTCTAGTATGAATTCTAGGATAGATCGAACGGAAAGAATAGCTTCGTGTTATTTTACTACGGACTCTTGAATAGATCGATCAGAAAAGATAACTTTGAGGTGGTTTCGTATCCTACAATAATCTCTTCATTTGTTCTCCGCTATTAGTGACTTTGGAGTGACTCTTTGTTGCATGTTGAGGGATTGTTATATGATCCAATTATGTTATTATTGTTGAGAGAACTTGCATTAGTGAAAGTATGAATCCTAGGCCTTGTTTCGAAGCATTGCAATACCGTTTATGCTCACTTTTACCACTTGCTACCTTACTGTTTTTATATTTTCAGATTACAAAAACCTATATCTACCATCCATATTGCACTTGTATCACCATCTCTTCGCCGAACTAGTGCACCTATACAATTCACCATTGTATTGGGTGTGTTGGGGACACAAGAGACTCTTTGTTATTTGGTTGCAGGGTTGCTTTAGAGAGACCATCTTTATCCTACGCCTCCCACGGATTGATAAACCTTATGTCATCCACTTGAAGGAAATTTGCTACTGTCCTACAAACCTCTGCACTCGGAGATCCAATAACATCTACAAGAAGAAGGCTGTGTAGTAGACATCAGCGTGCGGCAAGGCCACAGCTCGCCTGAGGCCGCATGGGAGGTCGGCCAGCGTGCGGCAAGGCCAACGGCAACCGGCCACAGCTCGGAGTCGGCCACCGCTCACGGCTGCCTCCGCCACGGGCGGCCATGGCTGGCCGCAGCCATGGCCGAGGGCGGCCACAACCACGACCAACTACAAAACTGGATTGTTTTTTTGAAAAAAAACTATGGACCCGATTGCTTTTTCAGCCCGTTTATGTGTGGGCCCAACTAGTCAGAAACGTGTTTAAAAGAGCCAAATCACGTTTTTTTCGACTTGGTAGTTTTTAGTCAAGGATTAGTGAGAAAATGATAGTTTTCGGCATAAATTTGTAAAGTGGTAATTTATAGGCACGGTTCCATGAATTGTGGTAGTTTTTCGTTAAATACTCGGGATATATACATTTAACTCGTTGAAACCTATCAATATGGGATCTAGTTTTGAAGATCTCGACACTAGAAATCCAATGGTGAAAATGATTATAGATTTGGACTCACGGTTTTTTCCGAATGGATATAGAAAAATAAAACTCACATGTTGCGACAAGTGGCACACTGCATGCGTGTCACTTATCGCAACCTGAAGAGATGAAAGTGATCTTTACAAAGAATACTTCTAGTGATTTCGGCATCTCCCCTGTCTCTTAGGCTGGAGTATTTCTAAGAACAAAGAAAAAAGGGAGGGAGGGTACTGCCTCAGCCCATCCCACTTAATCTCGCTTAGGATCAATTCTTTTCCCAGCTTAAAAAATAAGTCGCTCCTGTTCAATTTTCTTTCATAAGCTGTCTTTTTTTTTCATCGAAACTTCTAAGCTAGTTATAAAATAACTAATTAAAAAGGTCTCAATAAACTCAGAGGACGACGACTTAAACTGGGGAGAGACAACTTAATTTTTAAGCGGGCGATTTGATAATTTGCCACCCCTTACTTCCCCTTTCACAATTTGCCACCCTTTTGTTTCAATGATGGG